TATGATATGTTATGACTTATAAAATTTACTATTTTATTATAATTACCTTGGTCATATAAAGTTGGATATGATCTAAAATAGCCAATACTGGAGGTATGTATATACTTTTTATAATATAATATTAGAGTTGGTTGAAGATTTTTATAATCAATATCACAAAACTAATTTTGAAGGTAATGGTAGAAAAATAATATGGTCTAAAAGATCAAGTCAAATGACATGTTTTACAGCTATTGTGTGAACTTATGCTATTTGTTTAGATAATTTTTAGTATATAACACTGTGATTATTGAATGTGACATATTACTCAAGTTTTCAGAAGTCACAATAGTTAATTAGAATGAAGATTTTCATAAAAAAATTTTTTATATACCCTATTTTTCATCCAATTATTTTAGCAAACAAATTTACCTGCTAAATTTTACAGTTTAGTGATAATAATAACTTTCTTAAACATATGAAATAGAATGAATCATGTAATTCATATTAATAGGATGGATTGATCTGCAGATTGACCTACGGTGGTCATCATGGATGCCCAACCCACCTGGGTTGAAACACTAGACCTACGGGTCAACCCGTGGATCAGCCCGCGGGTTGACCCGTCCAAGTCTACCCAGGTGGCTATGAACACAACCCGGGAGTAGATTAGAGGGTCCACCAAAATTCAGCAAATCGGCCCGAATTTGGGTCAGAATAGGCCGGAATTAATAAATTTTTTCTAAAATCACTCAAAATTTTACTAATAAAAGTGGCAGCCTATGCACTAAGTAAAGCTGCCCAAATGATGATTTTGCTATAATATAGTCGGCCGGTATTATTGCTTACAGCTGTTTTCATAATTTCTGGGACACCTGAAAAAATTAGCCGAATGATTTTTCGGCCGATCCGGTTAAGTTATTATTTCGGCATTATAGATTCAATAAAAATTGATACGTACGTACGTACGTACCAATTTTATTACACGGGTCTCATGTAACAACCTGTGCTTTTTTCGTTTACTTATTGGCACGGGATTGTACATCAGACACCGTGCAATAATATGGTTATTATGTGGGTTATAGAAAATAACTAAATTTGCAAGGTTAACCTAATAGTGTCTAAAATTCTGCATCAAAATTGTGGGCTGTAGCGCACAAAATTTTTTAAATGTGCGCAATAAAACAAATAGCATAAATAAATATACCGCACTTCAAGCCTAAAGCATATATGAATCTTGAAATTTTTAATGTGCGCAAAGCGCACATTTTTTAATTCTAAAGTGCGGAAAATTTTTTTGATGCGCGCTCCGCCCCTTACGCACATTAATTTTAGACACTGCAACAGTTAACCCGTGCAAATTTAGTTATTTTACAACCCATACAATAACGTACGTACATAAGTACGTATAACAGTTGTACGTACGCACCAATTTGTATTGAATCTATTATTATTATGCCGAAATAATAACTTAACCGGATCGGCCGAAAAATCATTCGGCTAATTTTTTACAGGTGTCCCAGGAATTATGAAAACAGCTGTAATGCACTTTGTTCCGGCCCATCCCTGACCCCAAATTCGGGCCGATTTGCTGAATTTTGGTGGACCCACTAATCTATTCCAACCCGGATACCCGACCCACTGGGTTGACCCAACCCGGTTGAAACACTATCTGTAGAATACAAATATTGCCTTTTCGAGTCCAGAACTTTTTTTGGTTAAATTGTGTCGATCACTGAGATCATGATATATGTTTAACGATAGATTATCTTTTGTCAAAAATGATGTCTACAATTTTGCATCAACGTTTTGTGAATTCCCCATTAAATACTTTACTTTTCAAACGCAAATTCAATCTTGCTGCGTCCATTCCAATTTTAAAGCAGCTTGACATTGTACCCGTTCGTTGTCACATTACAAATTCTCTGTTGAATAAACGCAATAACTCATATCAAGCCTTAAACTCTTTTAATAAACTTCCTTTAGATGGTAAACGTCGATATCAAACTAATATTTCAAATCTCAGAAAAGCGCAACGTTCAAAAAATGATATAATCGAACGAGAAAAAGTTAAAGAATGGGGTGATTTATCAGCCGGACAAAAAGGTATGAAAATATTTTTTATATTTATTATTTTGTGGAGTTACTATTAATATGAAAAACAAATTAGCTGCAAAAGTTGCTAAGACAACGACAAATATTAGTGTAATTGTGATAGGAGTTGGTGTTCTTGGTTTGTAATTTTATAAAAATTTCATATATACCATTGTTTTTTTCTTAAATATACAGTATATATATACTTTTGACTAAATGACTTGTTCTCTAAAATAAGGTGTGCTATTATATTACATTATATCGGAACTATTTGGCCCAAAAAGCTCTACTAAAGTTTTTAATGAATCATTGGAAAAAATTAGAAACAATCAGGAAGTATGTTGAATTTAATGATTAATATATACTGTATATACATTTAATGTTTGGATATTTAGTATGAATGTTCTCAGGCCTATTAATTATCAAATTTAGTGTCAGAAGATGTTAGGCACTCCAATAAAAGGACATGGGATTCCAATTCCCAATTCGAGATTACGTAATCCCAGAGCCCGGTAAGTGTTATGTCCTCAATATTTGATTCTCATTAACGGTCACCATTAACCTGTCTTCGACTCTACTACAATATTAAGTCTTCGAGACGTGATAAACACGGATGGTACACCACATCGAATAATGCATTTTTATGTTGAAGGCCCCTTGACTAATGGAAATGGGTTACTGGATATGGTTAAGGTTGATTTGTTGAAAATATCATCGACCCACACGTTAAGTCAATTATGTTTTTTAACATTTTTCGTCAAAAATTTAGGATGATCAAGGAAATTGGGTCATAAAATATTTAGTGGTCACCATACCTGGTAATTAATTAGTTAATTATTTATTTATTATAAGCTCTCTTTGGATCTTTGATATTTTCTCATCTTGAATGATTCTTAATATAGGGTATGGTAAACGCATTTATATTGAATACCATGGTGATGTGAATGATGAAGAAAAATGAAAATAACAGTATGTATGAATCATGACACAATTCTTAATTTTCAAAGATTAATGGTCCCTTATTTTTTATATCCGTAGAAAGCAATTGCAATTTTTCAAATTAAGATACTTGTAACCGATATTTACACATCTGAACTTCAGTCATAATGATCAACCATTAATGTACTTTAAATGCGTGTAGTTTCTTAATATTTTTATACTTTCGCTTTAATCTGATAAAAAGGTGGGTAAAATCAATAAGATCACTTTAGGATAGAAGAGACTGTAACTGATTGGAAATTAGTGTCACGGATGATCGTGAAATCGGATGATGGT